GACCTGCTGCTGGCGCTGCTGGCGCGAAGGGAGGACTTGCGCCGAGGTGGGTGCTCGGGCACAGCGCCCGCACCAGAGAGGGTGACCCTCCCCTCCCCCGGAGACCCAGAGGTCCTCGGGCCTTTCCGGGCCTGGCCACGGGGCCCGTGGGACCCGGCAGGAGTGGGTTCGAGGGCCCCAGCACGTCCCCGCCTGGGCGCCCCCGCAGCAAGTTTGGTCGGGGCCTTGGAGCCGTGTTGCTTGTTGGGTGCGCGGTCGTGGCATCGCACTGTCCAGCCGGGAGCCCTCCGGACCCAGGACAGGTTTAGGAAACGCGCTCCCTGGTGCGGAGAGTGTGCAGAGCAGCCGCGGGGTCCCATGGCCACGGGGCAGGAGGATCCCCAAGAGGACAGTCCCATCCTGGCCCTTCACTCTTCCCTGGAAAGAGTCGGATGCGGGGGCCAGGGTGGAGCTGGGCCCCATCGGTAGGTCTCCCCTAGCTGGAGTCTCGGCACCGGCAGCCGCGCGCACTTGCTCTGTCCGTCCGCTCGGGCTGGTCCCCTGGACCCTTGTACAGCCGAGCCCCCAACGTCCTGGTGGCACCTGTCTCACCCCCAGCACTCTGGCTCCCAGGGAATCGGGACCGTGCTCCGCGGGCTTCTGGCTGGCAGGACCCGCGGGATGGAGACGGAGGCAGCCGGGCGCATTGGGGCCCGGCAGCACGCGGGAGGTGGGAAGGGGACATCCAGGTGCGGGGTCTCGTCCTTCCTGCTTATTTATTTATTTCCGACGGCTCTCGGGAGGGGTTGGCNCCCGCCGGGGCTGGAGTCGCCATGCAGCGTAAGGCCGGTCGCAGGGTTCCGCGGGAGCGCGAGGGGTGCGGCGGAAGCGGCTTTTGCGGGATGCGGGCCGCGGGGAAGGGATGGCCGGGCGCTGTCCGGGCCCCGGTGCTGAAAGGCGCTGCGAGGGCCCGTCCAGCCATCAGCTCTGTGCCCGGCGTCCTCGCCGCTCTGCCGTCGCAGCCCACAACGAGGGCCCGGGGCGCCCAGCGGATGCCCAGGCTCCGCACCTGGGACCCTGGTTTTGCCCGATGCGGGTCCGCGTCCTTCGCGGGTTTCCTGCTGCTGCGGGAGGGAGGTCGATTCCAGTTCTGGTGCCCCCGTGAGGTCCTCCTTCTGTCCTTCCGCTCAGTGCGGCCAGCCGGGAGCGGGAGGGGTCCGGGGCCAGCCAGGTGAGCAAGGTGAGGTGGATGCAATATCCGTGTAGGTTCCAGGGCTGTGCATGGCCCTCTCCTCTGGGAGCTCTCTTCCGAATTAACAGGGAGTCCTCACCCCGTGAGCACCCTGAAGAGTGCCTCAT